CCATATGGGCCATTCCTGAACCATACGGAGTCTACTCAGCCATGACCCCTGCGTTTTCTTCCCCAGCTCACGTGGTCAGTGCCTTCCCCATCTCCAGTCCTCGAATGCACCCCAGCCTTCCCCAGCCCCCCAGCCCTCCCCAGTCCCCCAGCCCTCTGGGCAACTCCCTGGCTCTTTTTTCCACACCAGGTGTCCCCTCTGACATACGAGGTGATTTGCCCACCTGCTGGGTGTCCTGCAGCAGCTGACCTTCTGCGGGATGTCACCTGTTTCGGTCTGAGTGTCTGGAAGAGTGCCGTGTGCTACAGAAGTCCACGCGTGTGGTCCAGGACAGAGCACCGCCACCTGCAAAGGGTAGACATTTCCTGTGTCTAGAGAGGGAGGTCTGGAGTGAGTCTCTGAGGCCCCTGCAGGGACTGTTCTAAGTAGGTAGCGCCAAAGCCACTCCCCTGCTCGAGAACCTTCTATGGCTCCCCTGGACTCACAGAATATGGCCAGAGCGTTCTTCCCAGTGCTCAAGGCCCTCTGCGAGCCTTCAAGGAACTGCTCAGGCTCGCCAAGCCTCAGCTCTCTCCTCCGTAAAATGGGGACCAACAGCACCCACTGTTTGGTGCCCCAGCCCCACCTAAGCCCCAGCTCTCTAGCTTTCCCCACCCCACCCCGGGTACTCCTCAGACTGTCCTGCCAGACTGGCTGTGCCCTCCAAGCTGCAGCCACAGATACTTCTGCAAACTCCATTCAGGAAACTCCAGCATCTCCTGTATCTGTCTGTCTTTTCTGAGGCTCAGCTGGAGCGCTGTCTTCGAGAGGACACTTCCTGGAACTCTGGCCATCCGTGGGGCAGCTGTCTCCGCAGCTCTGCACTATGCCTGGGTCCCTCAGCCATTTTGTGCTAAGTCCAACCTCAGGGCACCACACGGGACCCTGGAGGAGCCAGGGTGTTGCAGGGTCTGTCCTGACTCCAGGAGCTGAGAGTCTCGAAGATTCAGTCAGGCTGACATTCCTCATGGCTGTGTGCAGCGTGTCCCGGGAGCTTCACAGATGTGAATTCACCAAATCCTCACCTTGAGTCTCAGGCCTGCCCGGCCTGGTGGACGCTGCCAGTCCCCATTTCACAGATGAGAGAGCTGAGGCCCAGGGAGATGAAGCAGTTCCTTGGAGCGGTGGCTTTCGCTCCCCAAGCCAGGCAGCACTCTGCCCCCTACTCATCCTGCCTGTCACTGAGCCCCTGTCCAGCACTGGGCACTGCCCCAGGCACTCGGGGCACATCCTGTGGGAAACAGGCAGAAAGCTCTGTCTTCACGCAGCGGACGGCTAAGCCTGCGTTTCCTACCTCTAGAACCACCATGCCATTGATTGGCCAAATTGGGGCACTCTGAGACTCAAAGTGCTGCTAGTCATACTTACGCAGGTGACAGATGCTGGTCAGAGCTGCTGCCCTCCTGATCTCCCAAGCACCTGGGAAGCTCCCAGGGCCAGACTGCTGCTGGCCCTCTCAGTCCCTCTCCCAACGCTGCAGCCAGCATCGGGCTGTCCCTGCGTGTCTCTGGCTGCTTACAGGTGGCCTGGTTCCATCAAACACGGGGCTTTGTGGGCGCTGCTGTGGCCTCGAAGCCCAGTTGCCACGGTTGATCCATCCACTGTCCCAGCTGCTCCGTGGAGAGAGAGTTACCCTTCAACATGGGCTGACTTACGCGATATGTCAACACGCCACCTTGGAGAATAGAGAAACGCCCGCAACGCCACTCTAATTACTCTTCTCAGATGAGGTAATGATCGCTAACGTGCACTGGATCTCATTAATTAACTCTCTGACTTTAATTAACTTCTTGCCTATTTCACCTGACATAATATATTACCACAAATGTCAACTTTGCAGTGTTTCCCTCTTGCAACAAAATAAGACGCATCACAGAAACAACGCTGCATCTTCCACACCGTACTGGACAGAAGTCTCTGGTGGGAGGTGGACGGGCCACTAGTGCCCGTCTGGTATCTAGATACGAGAAAGTCTAGATAGAATGTGGAGTTTTCTAAACATCCACTAAGAATTCATAATCGTAATCAAATTTGTTTCTAATCACACTACCGTGACTTTTTTCTGTCCTTCAAACACACTGCTAATAATAAACATAACACCTGAAAACAGCAGTGTGGTTTCCTGGAAGAAGAAAAACAATGGGATTCCATCTCCACTCCACGGCCACCTGAGAACTGCTGGGCACGGGAGGGAAGGCATGGGCTGGCCCAGGGAGCTTCCTCTTCTCTTTAGCTGGTTTGGATGACAGCACCCTGTGGCTAGCGGCTTCTGGCGTCTCCAGCCCCAGCTGCCGACACCAGCCTCAGCACAGTCCAGGAGCTCTGTCCACTTTAGGGTGGAGGGAGGCTCATCACCATGGTGGCTGCTGGGGACACCCAGAGGTCCCCAGCCACCGCCACTGCCCCTGCCATGGCCAGCACGTCCCTGGGCCCCGTTCTAGCTGCTCTCCTGACCCTGCTTACCCTTGGCTCCCCTGTCACTGCCGGGACTCCTTGTCCCTGTCCATCCCGTTTGGTGGTTCAGCCACACCCCTGATGCCCCAGTAACTTGGGAGTGGGCTGAGGTTGTTTTCCCTGAGAGCACGGCCTGGGGCTTCCGCCTCTGCATATCTCAGGACTTAATGAGGCCTGGGGCACCTTTAGGCCCTGGATAAATACGGGACTGTGGGTCGGAACCGCGCCCAGCAGTGTCAGGCTTCTCGGCAATGTGGATGCTTCAGCTGGGTGGGCTGACAGCTGAGCAAGCCGTGGAGGGTCCCCACAATGAATTTAACCTTTTGGGGGTTGGGGTAACAAATCGAACGAGTCCCTGTCCCTTGCGGCTGGAGCCCAGGTAATTGGTTTGGCTGAGTAGAAGCACTGGACTTAATTTCATACTTCAGTGGGCATCAGAGGAGACACGGGGCTGTCACAAAAGCCTTTGTTTAGCTGAGCCCAGCGCTGCTCCCTTAAATGATCTCGGCGGGGGAGCTTCTGAGTGTTCCCACATCGACATGTCTCCTGACCCTTCTCTCTGCACAGCCCACGTGCGTGTGCACACATCACAAACACATACATCTCACACAGAAGCACACAGAGTAGCTATACAGACATGCAGACACACACGCACACATGCGCACACAGCACATTCACTCCCACACACGCATCCACAAGTGCACGCGCCTGGCAGGACCTTCATGCCTTGGAAATGCAAGAGGACAGGGCCCTGTGAGGAGTCCTGTGGGAGGCGCAGGGCTGCTGGAGCCAGGACAGCTGACCAGCTGCATACATTTGGCCAAAAAATCCCTTTTCTGTACCTTAGCTTCCTTGTTCTTTATTTGTTTTGTGTCCATTTCTCGAGAACTAAAAGCCTCCTGCGTGGGAGAGCGTGTGGGGCCTGGTGAGATCCCCAGTCTACAGGGCTGTGGGGAGTGTCAAGTCTGCAGCTGGTGGGCAAGCCACTGCTCCCTCTGTCCTCTCCATGGACACATCAGGGCATGACCATGACACCCTCTTAGCCCTGGGATGGGACTGCAGGGCTGGTCCTGGAGGATGGCTGGGCCAGAGCCTGGGAGATCAGGAGGAGGGGCCCACATTCCACTGCTGGAGACCTGGGGGGCACTGATGGCAGGCGCAGCCCTCAGTGTGCTGCTGGCTGCAGGGGCTCTTGTGGAGGGTGGCAGAGTGTTCCATGGAAGCTGTGGGGAGTGGCAGAGTGCCCCCTGGAACCTGGGGGCAGAGTTCAAGTCTCAGCGCCCTCTGGGCCGAGGCGTAACCTCAGTTCAGAGGAGCCTTGGTTCAGAGGAAAAAGTGTTCTTGGAGCCAAGCAGACGTGCATCTGGCCCTTGGCTGTGTCCTTACCACGGCTGGGCGGCGTCCAGTCCGCAGCCTTCCACTCCCTCCCTGTGTCTGGACTGCACTTCACACTCTGCCCATGCTTCCGGCCGGAGGAGGCAGAGCGCTTTTTCCTGAATCATTGACGCTGGGCTCAGCCACATGAGTGGCTTTGACCCACAGCTGTCAGGCATGATGGGGGCTGTCCCCTGGCCTGATTGTCTGGGTTGGCCTCCACACTGCTGTCATCCACCGTGAGAAGAGCCAGCCTGGCAGCCGCGGGTCCCAGGACAGAGACAATGGGGCGGACCTGAGTGCACAGGGGCCTGGAGCGAGGGCCGGGCTCCCCTGCAGACCTGGGAGAAAGGAAGCTTGGTCTGTTGTAATCACAGTTTGTAGGTTACCTGTTACAAAGCGTCGTCATAGTGGAAGCCTGAGCAGTACACAGCCTTGTCTGACCCTGAGCAGAGAACTTGACCTTTGCGAGCCTGAGTTTCTGCATTCAGAAAGGGAAGATAACACGGCCCTGCCTGTGATTCCACATGAGCCCGGCTCCCAGCCGCAGCTCGGTGCCCCCAGGTTCTCCTGAGAGGGAGAGTTACCTGTGATTCCGAGGGAGCCTGGTGAGAGCCACCCGCTCCCTCCAGCTGCCAGCCCAGCATGGAGTTCACAAAGGACCCTTCCATGCACGCCGCCACTCTATCCCAGCAGGTCCCTGGAGGCAGTCACCACTGCAGACGAGGACACTAAGGCACAGAGGGTGATGGGATCCCCAGGGCCGCACGGCTGGTGGGTGGCAGTAGTGGGTCACACACACCGGTGTCCCCTGTCCCAAGCCTGTGTGCTGTGTCCCGTTCCAGTTTCCCTCCGACTTTGGGATTCCATGTTTTTCTCTCAGCTGCAGTGGATGAAGATGTGTGTGGGGCCTGACAGGTGGACGCAGCCCTCAGAGTGTGTCCCCAGGTGAGATTCTCAAAGGGCTGGGGGCTAGATTGAGGCGTTGCCCCGGGGCCTCCTGCTGGGCAGCTGAAGGCTGGCTTGGCTGGCAGACACTGTCTTCCGGAAGGGCGGGGACTGTGTCCCAGCCAGCGAGTGGGCGTTGGCATCCAGTCAGCGGCGACAGGGTTTGCCGAGGCCGGAAACGGGCAGACGGTCTTCTAGGCAGTGCTGCCGTCTCTGTGCCGTGATCCCCCCGATCTCCTCCCATGGCTGCCGGCTCTCTCCACCCCCACAGGCCAGTTGAGGGGCCCTGGGGCAGCTAAGTCAGAGGCCTGCCCGGCTGGTGATAAGCTGAATGGGTGGGGCATTTCGGACAGCGTCCAGCATGCATGAGTGTGCGTCTCCGCCTTGTGCGAGAGCAGCTTCCGCCGGCACCTTCCTTCACTTGGCAGCCCTTTAGTGTCCACATGTGGTGTGCTGGGCGCTGCGCCGGGAACAGACCTGGCCCTGTCCTCTTGGAGATCCATGTGTGGTGGGAAACAAAATCAACAGAAACCCTGGCTGTGGTTGTAGGTGGGGTGAGTTCACAACCCGGGCAGAGGGGAGACGCGGTGGCAGGAGGAACGGCGAGGAGGGAGATGGCAGCTGCTGTGAGTCACACAAAGCTGGCCACAGGCAAGGGAGGTGGCGCTTCCCACCCAGGCTGTGCTGCCCGAGCTCATGGGTGTGGACAGAGCAGATGCAGGTGCTGTGGTATCTGGGGTTTGGGCAGTCCCGAGGTTCTCCTGGCCAAGCCTGCTCATGCGGGAGCAGGAGGAGGGTGCAGGCCCCGCAGGCTGCTTGGAGGAGGTGCCTCCTGGCCTCTCAGCACCCGAATGGCCCCAGGTCAGCGGTGACCCAGCCTTCTGTGAGTCCCTCCCCAACCTGGATCTCAGCTCCCTGGGGAGTATTGCGGGGTCTCCTCCAAGGCTCTATTTGTCTTTGTACCCAGGAATCCGGGACCCTGTAGTTTAGAGCAGTGGGCACCAGACATGTCGGGTCTTGCTGGAGGCTGGCTCGTGAGGAGGAGTCTGACTGCTGCCCTCTGCACCAAGGCTCTAGAATGTGGCAGTGGGTCAGTTGCTCCCATGCACAGGAGAGGCTACTGTGGGCCAGGGCTGGGCGCTCTGGGCTTCCCCTAAGGAACTACCAGGGCCCTGAAGCCAATGCTCCTTCCTTGGATAATTGGAGACTTTGGCCGCAAGGCCAGGGTGCCCAGCCACCATGTGGGAGGGAGAGCCCTGCCTGGCAGACGCTCCTGGCACAAGGCAGAGGAGAGGGCACCTGTCCACTGGTCAGCTGCTGGGGGTGTGCAAGGGGAGCTGTGCAGCTCCTGAGTGCCTCTGTCCAGACACCAGGCAGGAAATGAGCTCGTCCTGGAGCCCCTGAGAGTCCCTGGGATGGGGGTCCCTACCGGAGGGGATCTTGGGCTGTATCCATGCTCTGCCTCCTTTGGAAGTGACGTTTCATTCCAACACAGCCACCAGCACTTGTCACACCTTGTCTACAGCTGCTTCGGGTCTCGCTGGGGTCTGGACATTCCCCTAAATTCGTGTATTGAAACTTCATCACCAATGAGATGCTATTAAGAGGTGAGGTGTTTAGGAGGCCCTGCCCTCAAAGGTGGGCTTAACCCTTGAGAAGGGCTGGGAAGCCTGGCTGCCCCTTCTGCCCTTGGGTCCCTCCTGCCCTGTGAGATGCCCGTTCGCCCCCTCAGGAGGATGAAGTGGGCTGGCACTGTCTTGCATGCAGAGAGGAGCCCTCATCAGACACCCATCCTACTGGCGCCTTGATCTTGCCCTCCAGCCCCCGAAACAGAGAGAAGCACATTCTGTTGCTTCTGAAGGGCCTAGTCTTCAGGATTTTGTTACAGCAGCGGAAGGACTAACACAAGCCTTGAATAATCATGACAAAGATTGATCTGGAAAAGAGAAAGTGATTCCTCACCAGCCCTCTACAGAAAACACGTGTCCAGGCCTGCGTCTTTGGGACACAGCTGTTGGGGTGAGCAGCTTCAGATGTGGGGAGAAGGATGGCAGGAGCAAAGGCAGTGGAGGAAGGAAGGCAGCCAGCCCTGGCAGGGCGCTGGGGAGCCACCGATGGTGGGAAGGCAAGAGAGGTGTCCTGTGACTTGGGGCTTCTCTCCCATGTGCAGAGGAGCCTCTGGCCCCCACCCGTGCCCCTGGTTCTTGAGTCACCAACCTGGGCTATGTGATCTCTTGGGTGACCCAGGCGGAGAGTTCTGGTTGGGCTGGGGTCCCCACCGGTGGCACCCTGACTTGTGCGCTGCCTTGCCCTACCCTTCGTGGGGCCCTGAAGCCTATGAGAGGTGGGGGACCCAGTGCCCAGAGAAGAGATGTTCAGGGTACCTCAGGGGGCGGGTGGCCCTCGTCCATCCTGTGAGCATCCCTGGTGTTCCAAGAACACTGAAGACTTGGAGACCAGATGGCCACAGATGCAGGCAGGGCAGGGAAGTTGCTCCTAAATCCTGAATAATTGTGTGGAAATAAAGACCTCAGATTGAGAGATGAAGCAAGAATCTTTTGAAACAAAGGAAAAGGCCCCTCCTGTGACTGTCCCAACTGCACCCAGGGGATGGGGTGAGGTGACCCGGGGGATGGCGGGGGGATGGGGTGAGGTGACCCGGGGGACAGGGTGAGGTGAGGCCCTTCCAGCCCCATTTCGGGGGAGGTGGGGATGGAGCAAGTGGCAGCCCCCGTTCTCCTCTGGGTCCTGCTGGGGCTCATTTCAGGACCTTGGGAGAGTCACTTCCCACACCAGGGTCTGGGCTACATGTGCGGGAAGTGACTCCAGGGCCGCCTGCTCCCTTCTCAGAGGGACCTGGGCTGATTTTTCACTCCGGGCCCAGCTTGCATCCCCCGGGCCCCTAGAGGCAGGGAGAGGCCCTGTGGGGATGGCACAGGTGCTCAGAGCATGTGCGGGGACTGGTGGGGCCTCCATTTTCCATTTGTAGAGTGGGGACAATAACCGTACCCACCCCATGGCTGTCGTGGCTGCTACATGAATCCCTGTCCCGCACAGAAGGTGCAGTGAATCTGAGGCAGAGCTGCTGGGGTGGTCAGAGTGCCCCCGATAGGCCCCTGCTCACTGGACCGTATCATGGAAGGCTCCTCAAAGGTGGGGAGGCAGACAGGCCGCCTGCTGTCTGGGGGTCTCACCTACTCGTTGGAAGGAAGGAGGACGTGGAGGCTGCTCCTGACCCGGCCTGAAGGGCTGCATCTGCTAGGCCGGCCTCAGACCAGCCCTTGTTTGGTGAGTTCTTGGGGGAGCGCCAGGGACCTGGTGGCTTTATGCTCCTTTCACAGAGGGGTAAACTGAGGCCCAGGAGGTAAAGCAATCAGCCCAAGGCCACAGAGCTCATGAGGGACATGGTATCCACACTTGTTAACATGGCACCCTCATTGGGGAGTTGACTTTGAAGGCCCCCGAAGCCAGTGGGGCCAGCTAGGTGGGCATGTGGGGAGGGGGAAGGGTGCACAGGTAACAGCCTCCGAACCCGGCAGGGCCTCAAGGCCTCCTTGTGCTGAATGCTGGGAGGAGCAAGAGAAATAGAAGCCCGGTGGGGCAGGGCTAAGGAAAGGGGCAGCCAAGCTGCGAGGAGCCCACACATGATGCGGCAGCTCCACAGCCAGCCTCGCGCCTCCCACTGGGGCTTTCCCATTTGCTGGGTGAGAAACTGAGGCTCAATTCACCAAGGGCAGCAAGCAGCGGAGGCCTGGCTCCCAGTCCAGGTCGGTGTGACAGCCCTGTTCTCTCCTGCCAGGCTCCTCCTCCACCTCCCCTGCGGACCCGCCACGAGTTCCAGGACAAAGGGGCCAAGCCTCAGACAGAAAGTTCCCCGAAGGTCATAGCCAGGGAGGGACAGGGCAGGGTCCAATCCCACTGCATGTTGGACTTGCAGCCTTGCACCAGTGGCTGCAGATGAGACCCCAGCTCCAACCCACAAGGCTCCAGCGCCATTTGAGAGGTGAGGAAGGTCATTCCCAAAGCAGCTACTGAAGAGCCAGGCCTTCTGCGGGGCAGGGGCAGACCAAGGCCTCTACCATCACTGTCAGAAGGAAACAAGGGAAGCCTCCCAGGAGGAGGTGCCTCTGCAGCAGGGGATTGGCACACAGGGGAACCCTGATAGGGAAAGATGGCAGGGAGAAAGCACATCAGACAGAGGACACAGTGTGGGCAGTGGCTTGGAAGCAAGAAGGGGTAACGTGCACTTAGGGGGAGTGAGGGGTCCAGCTTGACATTAGGAGGGATTAGATAGGAAGACTTAGGCCTAGGCACAGAGAGCTTCAAATGCCAGATGAGCATGTTTGGATTTAATTCGGTGGTGAATGGGAAAAGGGGAGGCTGAGCAATCAGGGACCACTTCTCGTTAATCTTTCTAATCCCCAGGACCTAATACAGTGTCCGGAACCTGCTGGAAACTTAAAAAAAAAAAAAATCATTTAATGGATGGGTGGGTGGATGGAGGATGGTGATGAAAGTTCAGCATAGAAATTGACAGAAGTGTTGTGGATGGTGGAAGATGAATGGACGAATGACTGGAAAAATAGCCAATGGACAGATTGGGGGGAGGAAAGACAACCAGGTATGGACATGGATGCAGCCAGGGTGAAAATGTGGAAGTGTAGTCCATGGTGGATGGTGGATGGTAGACAGTGGGTGGATGGTGGATGGTGGATGGTAGACAGTGGGTGGATGGTGGATGATGGATGGTGAATGGTGGGTGGGTGGATGGTAGACAGTGGGTGGATGGTGGATGGTGAATGATGGATGGTGGATGGTGAATGGTGGATGGTGGATGATGGATGATGACTGGGTGGATGGCGGATGGTGGATGGTGAATGGTGGATGGTGGATGGTGGATGGTGGATGGTGGATGGGTGGAAGGTGAATAGATGATGGTGGATGGATGGTTAATGATGGGTGGGTGAATAAATGGTGAATGGGTGGGTGGTGGATAGTGGTTGAATGGTGGATGGTGTTTGGTGAGTAGAAGGTGAATAGTGGGTGAATCGTGGGTGGGTGGGTCGTGGATGCTGAGTGGATGAGTGGATGGTAGGTGAACAGTAGATGGTGGGCAAAGGGTGGACTGATGGATGGTGAGTGTGTGGGTGGTGGATAGCGGGTGGATGGTGAGTGGAAGAGTGGATGGTGGGTGATGAACAGGGTGGTCTGGAAGGGTGGCAGATGTGTTGTGGGTGGATGGTGGACGGATGGATAGATGGATGGGTGGGTGGGTGATGGGCTGTGGGTTGTTGGTGGTTGGAGGGTGGATAGTGGATTTTGCGTGGGTGATGGAGGGTGGGGGTGTGTAGTGGATGGGTGGTAGGTGGTGGTTTGATGGTGGATTGAGGTCGGTCGTGGTGGGTGGTCAGTCGGTGGGTGACAGGGGGTGGATTAATATGTGGGTGGATGGTGGGTGTGTGGGTGGATGATGGATTGATAGTTGGTGGTGTAAAGATTGGATGGTGGGTTTTGGGTAGGTGGTTTGTGGGTAGATGGTGGGTAGTGAGTGGTCAGTGGATGGGGGATAATGGTTGTGTAAGTAGAGCAATAGGTGGATAAGTGCCCAGAGTCAAGAGAAGCGTTGAAGAAGGATGAGTGGATGGTGGGTGGTGGATGGTGGATAGGTAAATAGTGGATGGTGGATGGGTGAATGGTGGATGGTGGATGGTGAATGGTAGGTGGTAGATGGTGGATGGGTGGATGGTGGATGGTGGTGGATGGTGGATGGTGGATGGTGGATGGGTGAATGGTGGATGGTGGATGATGAATGAGTGGATGGTGGATGGTGGATGGTGGTGGATGGTGGATGGTGGATGGTGAATAGTGGATGGTGGATGGGTGGATGGTGGATGGTGATTGTGGTAGTGAGTTTTGGGTGGATGATGGTGGTGGATGAGGTGAGTGGTGGGTTTGTGGTAGGTGGTTGATGATAGTGGGTGGATGGTGGTGGATGGTAGGTGGTGGGTCACTTGTGAATGGATGGTGGTGAGTGGGTAGTCAGTTTTGGTGGGTAAAGCTGGTAGTGGATGGTGGATAGTAGATGGTGGTTGGTGACTGGGTGGTGGGTGATGGTTTGTGGTTCAATAGGGGCTGGTGGGTAGATGGTGGGTGGTGGTGGGTTGTGGTTGGTGAGTGGGTGGTAGGTGGGGCATGGTTGCTTGTGGGTGACTAGTCAGTGTTGGGTGCATGGCAAGTGGATAACCTTTGGGTAAGCGATTCAGTTGGTGGATGCGTAAATGAGTAGATGGTGGGTAGTAGATGGTGGGTTGTCAGTGGGTGGTGGGTGAATATTTGGTGTTGGTTAGATGGTGGATGGTGGATGGTGGTGGATGTTTGGTGGTGGGTAGGTGGGTGGATGAGTGGATGGTGTGGTAGTGGATGGGTGGTGGGTAGGTGGGTGGACGAGTGGATGGTGTGGTGAGTGGATGTTTGGTGGTGGGTAGGTGGGTGGATGAGTGGATGGTGTGGTGAGTGGATGTTTGGTGGTGAGTGGGTGGACGGATGAGTGGATGGTGTGGTGAGTGGATGTTTGGTGAGTGAGTGAAGTGGGTGGATTAGGTGGATGGTGTGGTGAGTGGATGTTTGGTGGTGAGTAGGTGAGCGGATGAGTGGATGGTGTGGTGAGTGGATGTTTGGTGGTGGGTAGGTGGGCGGATGAGTGGATGGTGTGGTGAGTGGATGTTTGGTGGTGGGTAGGTGAGTGGATGAGTGGATGGTGTGGTGAGTGGATGTTTGGTGGTGGGTAGGTGGGCAGATGAGTGGATGGTGTGGTGAGTGGATGTTTGGTGGTGGGTAGGTGGGTGGATGAGTGGATGGTGTGGTGGGTGGGTGTTTGGTGGTGGGTAGGTGGGTGGGTGGATGAGTGGATGGTGTGGTGAGTGGGTGTTTGGTGGTGAGTGGGTGGGCGGATGAGTGGATGGTGTGGTGAGTGGATGCTGGGCGGTGGGTAGGTGGGCGGATGAGTGGATGGTGTGGTGAGTGGATGCTGGGCGGTGGGTAGGTGGGTGGATGAGTGGATGGTGTGGTGAGTGGGTGTTTGGTGGGTAGGTGGGCGGATGAGTGGATGGTGTGGTGAGTGGGTGTTTGGTGGTGGGTAGGTGGGCGGATGAGTGGATGGGGTGGTGAGTGGATGTTTGGCGGTGGGTGGGTGGGTGGATGAGTGGATGGTGTGGTGAGTGGGTGTTTGGTGGTGGGTAGGTGGGTGGATGAGTGGATGGTGTGGTGAGTGGATGTTTGGTGGTGCGTAGGTGGGTGGACAAGTGGATGGTGTGTGGTAGCTGGATATTCAGTGGTGGGTGGATAGGGCTCCAGGTACTGAGCTCAGTCTTGGGGCTGGACGTGGATTTGAATCCAGCTGGAGCCTCTTAAGCCCAGGCACTGGCTCTCGTCTCCCCAGGGGCAGCTTCAGCTCTTCACACTTTGCATCTCGTCTAGGTCTGTCTGGAACCAGTGCTACACGAGGTCTGCTGCACAGCCAGCTGGACCTGAGTCGGGGTTGAGTGGAATCCTGGACGGAAGGGCCCTGCATTGAAGATGTGCAGGGCCGCCGAGCTGAATGGCGTCTGCCTGACCTTAGGCTGTGTCTGGGAGCGTGAGGTGAAGAGCAGCCGGGACACCTCTGAATCCTCAAGCTCCAGCAGCCTCCCAGGGCCCATGAGGCAGGAGGCCCTGCTGCCTGGTCAGGGCGGTGTCCTCACAGTCCTCCACAGTCGCTGACATCTGATTCCCAACACTAAGCTCCCATGGTCTCGACCCTGTGGTTTAGCTGGCCCTTCCCTGAGGCCCCCCAGGCCTCCTCGGAGCCTATTGGACCTGATGACATCCCTGGAATGGGAGATGGAGCCAGACCCGGCCCAGACTCTCTGTCCTGCTAGACTCCTGGGAACACAGACAGATGAGGGGAGAGGCAGCCGGCCAGCCCCCAAATGGAGCTGGTCTCAGGTGGACCTTGGGGGGCCCAGAGCCCATAAACTCTGGCTCTGGACAGACTCTCTGCAGAGGGCTTGCCAGTGGCCTGTAGCCAGGTCATGGCTATAGGTGGGAAGGCATGGGGGGAAGGCAGACTCGTGTTTTCCTAGAGGTTGGAGGCTGCCGACCCCTAGCACACAGACCGGCATGGTCTTGGTCGAAGTCTAGGTCTGGGGGTCTGGGAGTTCTGGGGTCGGAGGCTGGTCCACAAGGCTGGGCCCTGCACCTTGGGCCGACCGACCCTGGAGCAGCCCCACTCAGTAGTGCTGGCTGAGCTGGGGGTGCCTTTAGACCCACATGCCTGGTGTCAAGATCCTGGCTGTGTCAGGTGGAGGCTCCAACCTTTCCTGAGGAGTCCACAGCTGAGCGAGGGGGCCCAGGCCTGGGTGGGCATCCGGGCGTGAGGGATGAGTGTATGACAGAGTGAGTGTGAGAGTGTCCCCTCTGCAGTTGGCACCATCGCTTTCAGGGGACAGAACTCACACAAGGCTCTCTGGGTGGACTGGACTCCGGATGGCATTGGGAAGGGACTGTTCTGGGACAGATGGGAGGTGGCCCATGCCCTGCTGAGCCACACTGGCACTCACTTGGCCTCCACGTGGGGCCAGGTCTCTCTCCAGCCCCTTCCTGTTTGGGCTCTGAGGTTCGTGGAGTGAGTTCCTGGCCTGCAACCGCACTGTGAGTGGGCAGGCTTCCGTCCGCGGGTGGAGGAGCTGATGGACCCCCGAGGGCCTGAGCTGCTAAGAGTGCCGGGTCTGGGCCCAGGTGTTGGCGACCTAGCTCCCTTCTCCGAAATACTGCTCTCCTGCTGCCTCTGTGTGTCTGGGTGGGGATTCCCACCGGGCACCTGCCCGGCATCTGCCCCTCTTGCTGCTTCCAGCCGTGAGCTGGCCATGACCACATCAGAGTCCATCTGCCTGGGGCAGTGGCTTAATTGTGGGAATTACAGTTTGATGGAGCGAGAAGTGACTGGCAGGTGGAGGGAACTTGTCCCGGTTTTGGGCAGTGGTGCGTTTGGGCTTCATGTGTCACTGGCCAAGACCCTCAGGGACGTTTTGCCTGCCGGAACAAGAGCAAATCCAACATCTCCCTGCCCTGGAGACTGGAACAGCTCCTCGAAGGGGTGGGCAGTGCCACTAGGCCTGGCTTCCAAGGGTCCCTCTGCTTGTCCTGTGACTGGGAGTCCTGACTGTCTGAGCCCACCGGGCCCATCCACCCTCCTGCTCTTTTCCCAGGATGTGTCCTGCCTGCCTGTGTCCCACCCAAACACCCCGGGGGCCCTTACTGCTCAGGTACAATGGCCTCGCTCAGCAGCACCGCCTCGAGCCATAGAGGCCTCCCAGCTCCTGCAGCCTCTGCACGTCCAGCCCTCTCTGCCTGCCCTGTGGCCCCGCTCAAATCAATTGCACGTGGGCTCCAGAGCGGGGACAGCCCAGGGTCTCAGCACACAGTTTGCTGTGCACGGCCCTCTCCCGGCCTGCATCCCCTGCAGCCGTCGGCCCTCACTGGATAATGTGGGGTATGGGGTGCAAATGGATTGGCCCACGGACTGATTGACGGATTGTGGCTGGCTGCAGAGCTGTGCTGGGAACGACTCTTGAGACGGCGTCTGAGCGCAGTGGGGAAGCTCCATGCTCAGCATCTGCAGGGGACAGGCCCCACTTCTGGCAGTGTTCTCCAGCCCCGCCCTCTTCACCTTTTCAGGACTGCCCCATCTTAGTCCAGCAGGCAGACTGTCTGTTTGCAGAAGGCACCTCCCTCCACAGGAAGGAGAAGCAGCCTGGGGCTCCCCTTGAGGGCCTGAGGCTCTGGGCAGGTGGCTGGGTGTGCCCGGCACCCATACTCAGCCCAGGCCCTGGTGTGAGGCAGACTCCTGTCCACTCATGGTGTATCTCAGACCCCTCTGTCGGGGCCTCTGGTCCAAGGGTTCAATGCATTTGGCCACAGCTGGAGATCTACAGGAGAGAGAAAAGAGACTCCTGTCTCCCCGTCTTAGTGTGGTCTCTTCCTCTCTCGCTTTCCCTCTCTCTCCCTTTCTCTCTATGTCCCTGTCTCTCTCTCTCCCTGTCTCTCTCTCTCTGTGTCCCTCTCTCCCTCTCTCTCTCTTCTTCCCTCTCTCTCTCTCTTCCTGTCTCCGCCTCTCTCTCCCTCCCTCTCTTGCTCTCCCTCCCTCTCTCTCTCTTTCTTTCCCTCTCAGTCTCTCTCTGTCTTTCTCTCTTACCCTCAAGGTTGAAGCCCCCTTGTCCATGGGCTGCCTGTGGCCCTCAGACACCATGTTCCGTGTTGCTGCCATGTGACTTTCTTAAATTGAGCTTTTTGCAGACTCCAGGAGCAGACTTGGTGGCCCTCTGCGCTCGTCCTCCCCGCTCCCTTTCTCTGGGCCCGGGCTGCACCTGTCTGGTCCCCGTGGGTGTCGTTTCCACCCCCCGTGTGCGGCTCTCAGGACACGGAGACAGGACGGGGCAGCTGACAATGACGTGGGCTGGAGGGAATGCAGGGAGCAGAGAGCCAGGGCTCCCACTGGGGATGGGCAGAGCAGGTTCCTGGAGTGGGGGAGAGGGTGCCTATGCTGGGCCTTAGCAGAGACTGAGGTCAGCTGGTGGAGGAGGCTCCGGGAAAGCCCTTCTCACCCTGAGGCCAGCACCTGGGGCACAGTCAGCAGCTCTCTGCTGTGGGTGGAATTGTGTCCCCCCAAAAATTGATTGGCGTCCAAACCCCCAGAACCTGTGAACAGGACCTGAGTTGGAAGGGTCTTTACAGATGTCGTCAAACTAGGGATGTGGTTGTACCCTAATCCAGTGGCTGTGTCTTTATAAGAAGGGGGAGTTTGAGCACACGTAGGGAGCGCACCAAGTAGCCACAGATGCCGAGACAGGACAATGTGCCCGGGAGCCAAGCTGAGGATGGCTGGAAGGCGGGGGTGGCCTGGAACAGATCCCGGCCGGAGTCTCCAGAGGGACCCACCCTGCCGGCAGCTTGCTCTCAGCGTTCTGGCCTCCGGAGCTGGGAGACAGTAAGGACCCCCTGTCAGCTACCCAGCTGGTGCTGCGGCAGCCCCATGAGACAAGCCCACCCTCCGCCCCCACTGCCGTCCCTCTTCCTCTCCTGCACGCCGACTGCTCACTCCGGCCCTGCTTCCTGCGTGTGCTGGGGCTCTTTCTGTCTCACTGAACCCCTGCAGCGGCTTCTGAGAGAGGAGCCGTGCCCAACTCTCTTTGCTCATCTGCCACCGAGAGGCACTGTGGGGTGGTTGAAAGGGTGGCAGAGGCCACCCAGACTGCCGTCTGTCCAGTTCCCCATGTTCCCTATCTGTCCTCTCCTCCCAGGAGATCCCCTGCCCTGGTCTGAGACGGGCATGGAAGGATGCACGTGGGGCCGCCTGTCTGTGTGGGCACCGAGCGTGGCTGCCCGCGGGAGGCGGCTCCACAGAGACTGGCAGCCCATCTGTCATGCCGGTCGCCACCTTTGTTCATGGAGCAGATACATACCCAGATCTGACAGCACAATATCATTGCACCGCCGGCTCCCTCGGATGCCCAGATAAGCTGTCGATCGGACCGGGCCCCTAGTCTCTCACTATCCGGCTTTATTTCGCCATAATAGCGGGGAAGATGCAGTTGGTAACGACCCGTGACAGCTGCTATATTGATATTCCCAGTCTTGGGGAGAGAGAGAGGAAAAAAAAAAACAAACACTTGATAAAAGTGTGATTGAAGATTAATAGTTGTCTGGTGACGATTCACAATGAAACAGGCCATAAACAGATTACTTGTCTGCAGAGCTGAATTGCTCCCGGCTACAGGCTGCGGAGACAGTGCTGCTCCCAAGCTGCAGAGCTGGGCACCCGAGAGGGCCTGGGTTCCTCTGTGCAAGACCGAGGGGCGCCCAGGCAGGCGCAACAATTTTGGGTGCTGTGGGCCAGGGTGCTTGAAACATTCCCAGCTGGAGGAGGGTAGATGAAAATCGCTTTGGAACTGTTTATTTATTTATACTCTGCCTTGTTCCAGGAAGGATTTAAAAAGGCTTAGAATTTGCTTTGTGTCAGAAGCCCGTGTAATCTTCCCGGTTCTTCCCCAGGTGGAAGCAGGGAATTTTACAGCGTCAGTGTCAGGCCGGGGAGGCCGAGGGAGGGTCAGGCCCAGGTGACTCTGCTGACGTTGAGGAACCTGGGTTCCTCTGAGTTTAAGCGACATGCCCAGAGGGTCAGGGGGTAATTGAGTGGGAAAATGGAGACTGAAAATCATTCATTCATTGTCTCATAATCTTGCACCTTATGTGAACTTTGTTCATCAGAAGAAAGTGGGAAGACCAGTTACAAACTGGGAGAAGGTGTTTTCTGCAAACGTCATGAAGAAAGATCCATGCCCCAGTGTGCAGACAGCGTCACGCTAAGGGCCCCATGAAAGGAAGGGCAGGAAGAGGCTGAGCAGCTCCGCAGGGAGACGCAGGCAGGAGGGCCCAGACACCCTCCCACCACCAGCGGCCACGGAGGGCGCGTCAAAGTCACGGGAGATGCAATTACATCCCTTTAATTGGCAAAAACGACAAATTGGAAGGCGGACGACCTTGGGTGGGGGAGTAGGAGAGCAGAACACAGGAGCTGGTTCGGTGCGGGCTGCTGGCAGCACACAGCCCCACAGCGCTGCTGGGTTTATGGGTGCTTATTACTTTATAAATAACATGCTAAGGATGCTTGTTAGTTCCCTGTGGCTGCCCTAACAAATTATGACAAAATGGGTGGCTTAAAACAACAGAAATATATTCTCTTATGATTCTGGGGATGAGAAGTCTGAGATCAAGGTGTGGGCCAGGCCTCGCTCCCTCTAAGGCTCCCAGGAGGCTCCCTGGTGGCCTCCTCTAGCCTCTGGGGACCCCAGGGGTTTCTCGGCTGTGGCTGCCTCCTCCCCCATCTCTACCTCTGTCCTTGACCTGGGCGTCTTCCCTCTGCGTGTCTGTGTCCTCTCTGTGTCTCGTAATGACACCGTCATTGGATTCCTGAATCCAGGACAATCTCATCTCCAGACCCTTCTCTTAACCACACCTGAAAAGACCCTTTCTCTCAAGAAGGCCACATTGACAGGTTCCAAGGCTCAGGGTATGGACTTGTCCTTTCGGGGGCACCATGCCAGCCACCGCAGTAAGGAGGGAGGGGGTGAACAGAAGTGGCCTGGCCAGGCGCGGTGGCTCAAGCCTGTAATCCCAGCACTTTGGGAGGCCGAGACGGGCAGATCACGAGGTCAGGAGATCGAGACCATCCTGGCTAACACGGTGAAACCCCGTCTCTGCTAAAAAATACAAAAAAACTAGCCGGGCGAGGTGGCGGGCGCCTGTAGTCCCAGCTACTCGGGAGGCTGAGGCCGGAGAATGGCGGGAACCCGGGAGGCGGAGCTTGCAGTGAGCTGAGATCCGGCCACTGCACTCCAGCCTGGGCGACAGAGCGAGACTCCGTCTCAAAAAAAAAAAAGGAAGTGGGCCTGATGTGAAGGTGATGGCTGAGCACCTGTTCATACTGAGGCCTGGCATGAGCCTGGGGCCCTTTAGATAAGAACACAGTGGAATGCTGATGGTGTCTAAAGCTTCCCTCCGCGGGTGGGCTCACAGGGCTGAGTGAGGGGATGGCACCTTTCTCTTAAGGGGCTTACGACTGGAACACTGTGCTCAAGACCACCCAACCAGCAAGAGACCCCGAAGCCAGGTCGGCAGGACTTTGAATCACGGGAGTTTCCCCACCACAGCTGGTACCTCTGTGCGTTGATAACACCCAGGCCCCAGTGGAAGGCCCCCTCGTCGGTGGGGTGTGTGGGGGCTGTGCATGCGTGTGGGTCTGTGTGCATGGGTGTGTGTGCACGGACAACACATTAGAATTCTAAGAAACCAAAGACAAAGTCCCCTGGCAGTGAGCTCAGAGAGGCCAAGGGTGGCTCTGAGTCCCCGCGGGCATCACAGCTCCCACTGGGCGGGACCCTGGCCTCCGGGCAGCACCTGCTAGCCACCCTCCCTTTCCTTGCCGCTCTCTTCTTCATCCTCCCACCCCTTCTCATCCGTGTTTCTTTGTTCTCCTTTATGTATCTTCATAAGCTTCCTTAAATCCTTTTTGAACAAGGCAGGGCGTAAATAGATAAATAAATAAACATCCCCTTGCTGCAGACTGTAAACCGTCTTTCCGAGGTCCCCGGCTTGTTCCAGAAGACACTGGCTCATCATCCTCTGACAGCTCCCATCCACGCCCCAGCGCTGGACGCAGGAAAATCAGCAGGCTGCAGGAGCTGGCTTCATCGTCCACCAGCATTTACAGAGCGCCGGCCAGGTCCTCTCCCAACGCAGCTGCCAGGAAGGCAGCATGACCCCGTCCCTCTCCAGCAGCTGGGGACCAGGGGCCCTGGGAGCCCCTGCAGGTGAGGCCGGCGGAGTTGTGGGGGCTAACCAGCATCCCTGGACCATGTGCTCTGCACAAACTGATGTGTGGGGAGGCCTTGGAGGCAGCGGCCCCCTGCCCACCTTCCTGTGCAAAAGAGATTCCAGGTGCCCCCCAACACGAACAACCCACTGCCTGAGTCCCTGTGATGTGCGCGCCACGAAGCCTGTGTCTTGGAAAATGTTTGTTTTAATTGTGTGCTGTTTTCATGCTCTCACCTGGCCTCACTTTCCCCCAAGCTGGGGTCCTGAAGAGCAGGGACTCCGTGTTGCACACTGGAGACCATCGCGTTCCCAGTGCAGAGAAGACATCCATCGGTGCTCACTATTGATTAATCGATTGAGAAGCCAAAAAAAAGTCACACCGCTGAGTAGAGGCTGGACTCAAAGATGAGCAAGTTTACTTCACCATTAAATGGATCAGGATCGTGGTGTGTGTGTGAGTGTGTGTGTGTGTGTGTGTGCGCGTGCGCACATGGGCTGTGGGTCTGGGTACTTCACCATCAAATGGACCAGGATCACGGTGAGTGTGAGTGTGATCATGTGTGTGTGTGAATGTGTGTGTGTCGCACATATGGGCTTTGGGTCTGGGTACTTCCCACCACGGTCAAATGGACCAGGATTGGTGTGGCAGTATTTGTGTGTGGATGTGTGTGGGTGTGGGTGTGTGCCACTTTAGGCTGTGGGTCTGGGTACTTCACCATCAAGTGGATTAGGATTGTGATGTGGGGAGAGAGAGTGTGTGTGTGTGTGAGAATGTGTATGCGTTTGTGCACACATGGTGTGGGTCTGCTTCACCATCAAATGGACCAGGATGTGACATATGTTGTGTGTGTAGTGTCAGTGTGTGTGGGTGTGTGTGCACACACATGGGCTGTGGGTCTGGGTACTTCACCATCAAATGGACGGGATTGTGGTGTGTGTGAGTGTGTGTATGTATGTTGTGTGCACGGTGTGTGTGGGCTGTGGGTCTGGGTACTTCACCATCAAATGGACCAGGATTGTGGTGTGTGTGAGTGTGTATGTGTGTGTGTGTGCACATGGTGTGTGGGTCTGGGGCAGACAAGGTGGAATCATGTCTTAACATCTGTATTGCATCACTTTTGTCCCTACACAAAGCTTTGCTCTCAGCAGTGACTCAGACACAAATCAATAGCCAGCTCTGAGTGCGAGTGTACAAGTGTGTGTGTGCACGCACTGGAGACGGGTGACATGAAATTATCCAAGTGCTGCCATGATCACAGGGAACTCCGTCTGCCCCACTCTCTGCCCACCCCGCCAAGGCAGGTCCTATTTCAGAGGTAGGAGGAATCTGAAAATAAATCGTGTTGCCCAAGGTCCTTTACTGTGATGAATGGCACCTCTTCTGTGCAAGCTCTCACCCCGCTCCGCCTTCCCATCCTACGTTTTCACAGTTTTGAGTCAGAATTAGGATATTCTTGCTTCGAGTGAGTGATAGAGGATATCGGGGCCCAGGAGCAGCCGGAACTCGGCTGCCATATTTCCCACGAAACCACACGATTTATTTCAGGGAATGCACTTATATTTCATCGGCTGGGGTCACGGCTGTCAGCTACATCACATCTGGACACACACATGGGTTGTGCTTGGCTGAAGGTGCCAGGACTGAAGAGATGAGATTCCTGAACATGCGCGGCATGGCCAGAGCCCAGGTCAATGGAGGCCGGTGGAAGAAGTCGTTGGGAAGATGCATGTGTGGGCGGCCGTGGCCTGGATTTGGGGCCAGTCATGCTGCCCGTGGGATTGGCTTTGCTGAGGAAACCCATAGCACCGTAGGAAGGACAGCGGGTGTGGGGTGGACACTGGCCCCTGCCCCGACCCTGCTGGACCCTGGCTCTTTGCCTAGGACAATTTCATCCATGCCTCTGTCCCTCGGTTTTCTCACCTGTGAAAATGGGATGGCTGTGCTGGCTCCAGTCTTGTCCACTGAGTGATGCCGCTGTGGGGACTCAAGGCTTACGTGCTGTAAAGCACAAAACGCTGTGGGAATTCAAGTGATTAACACGAGGTCATTTCCTCCAAAGATATTTTTAATCATTTTTATGCAGAATGAGGAATAATTGATGGCAATTTAAAAACCCACACACATTCATCATATCAGCGCATGAGATAAATTAATGACGGGAGCGGGAGCCGGGATTCTGAGAACTGGGGTTCCGCTGCTTGCCCTGCTGGTCCTCAAGTGGGCAGCTCTTAAAACACCCGTGGGTCACAGCTTCCTCATCTGTGAAACGTGAGTGAAGCTCAGTGGCCTGCGGTTCGGGCCCATT